ATCAGTTTATTTTTAGGGTAGTTTCTTTGCTGATATGATGAAGTATTTAAACCAAAATTCTCTCTCTTTTGCACTTTAAGCCTCCATTTGGGAGTTTCCCTTGCAAAAATGTATGGATATTGACTATAAAACTTTCACATATCATTTAGTACTCTCTTCTCTGCTGTAATGGAAAATAAGATTATGCTTAATGATGAGTACTCAAATTCATAGGGATAACTGTCTTCTCTATACGTGTGATTAATTGCAAACACTTGGGTTCAAGCCAATGGCGTGATGATGGTATTTTGAATAAAGAATATTCCTGTGGTTTCTGGACTGCAGCAGTCATGAGGAAAACTAATTCTCACATACAGTAAAGTAATCCAACTGCTAATGCTGTTGAAAGAAAATTTCTGTCTGTGTCATCCTCCCTTCTAAATTATAGCAATCTGAAAGAAAGTTTTTATCTATTTAAGGAAAAATCGGTCTTGGAAGAAATTGATGTGATCGTGAACAGCCTGTTAGACATACTGTTGAGAACCATATTGGAGATTACAAGCCGACCTCAGCCATCCGGGTCTGCAATGCGCCTCCAGTTTCAAGATGTGACTGTAAGATTTCATCATAAAACAATCTCAGTCTGTCGTTGCACTTATAGATCCTCCCATTGCATCTAGGTGAATTACCAATACATTGTAATACACATTGTTAATTTGATTATCTGCTATTCTGAAAAAAGGTTGCATTATCCAGATGTAGTGGAATTAAAGGAATAAGGTAGAATGTACTTTTTTGTCATTCTTTCACTGGAATTGTTAATGTTCTATATTTTTATTTATTTATGGATAGTATTTATAAAATTAACGTGGTGAAATTTTTCCACTTGACATCCTTTTGGATAGTGGAGAATTCACTGAGAGTCTTCTGTTGACAATTCAACAGCTTTCTGCCAGCAGTTTTATGTAGTAGGAGAAAAAAAATTATATGAACCGAGTACCTGAGTTTCAGTTCTAGTGTATTAATTGAAGTCAAGAGATCAGTGTTAGAAAGGGAAAATAAGTGGTATTTAGGTCAACATAATAAAATAGACCATGCATATTAAGAGGTTCAAGTGAAATCACTTAAAGAAAAGCCCACTGTCAGTATTGGTGAAACAAAATGAAAGCTGCATTTTGTTCTACTTGGAAAGAGGTTGTCAGGTGACTTTGGAGGAACAGAGAATTCTTGCATGGAAGTCGATACATAGAGGCCTAACCAAAGAGCAATGGACTTAGCCTTGTAAAGAGAAACAAGTTGCTTGCTTGTCTGTCAGCAATTTCCTAAGAAACACTCTGTGTACTTGAACACTCCTTACTTTTTTAAATTTGCTGTCTCACTTGACCAGCCATGCTTGTTGTTTTCCCAGTGATAAATGGATTTTCTCCTTTCAAGCCTAAATGCCCTCTGAGGTCACACGTTTTAAAGAGCATTCAATACATGGGGGAAAAAAATATTTTTTACTGTCTCCCACAGGGAACAAAATTATTAGATGTATTCATGGAGTTGACCATGGGTTACCTGTAATTTGTGATAGGGCAACCCTGTGCTCAATTTTATTATGGTTCAGAGGAACTGCACTTCTATAAACTCACATTCCTTTAATTTTAAACTGCAGAAATATTCTCCAGGTGTCAGGTCATCAAAGAAGGATTCACTACTCAGCCAAAGTGAGGGTTACAGAATTGGGCTACAAGTGTGGAAAAAGTCCATTCCTACTGGTTTCCTTTAAAATATCTGTTTGCTCATGTACGTAGTTTTTATAAAATGTCATTGAAAACATTCTAAAAGTCCTTGCAAGTTACAGAGTTTTCTTTAGTTATACATGCCTTGCAGAGGCATTCCATCATCATCACCACAGGCATCTCACTGAATGCTTAATGTAGAAGTGATTCACAGCACAGCATAAGCCAATTATATACATTATTGTGGGGGCATCATGCAGCATGGGTTTTGGAAACACACTGCTCCTGGTTCTTAGAAGTATTTATGGCATAAGTCACCACCCAATGTGAGTATGGGTGGAAGAATCTGTCCCATTATGTTACCATGGATTCATACTGCATTTATCGTTAAATGTGCTTTGTGAGATGGATGTAGGCTTATGGCAGCACACTGGGTTAGATTCTATTACAATTGCTCCTATTAGATACTTCCATACTTCTGCAAGTAGTCCCAAAGCTATATTTCCATGTGTTGCCACAGGCACTGCATGGTGTTTCTGCATAATTTATCAAGAAGCAGAGTAAATTGAACTGCATGGAGCTTGATGCTCAGTGGCTGGATTGTTCTTAGGACCCATGCTAACTTGTTTACAATTAGGTAGGGTTTCTCTACACCAGGGCTGCCCTGCCACAGGTCAGATGCAGCTGATGAGGGGTTAATTTGTAGCCCCCAGGCTCCCACTCATCTGCTGCTCTCCCCATTCTTCTGGCTGCATCTGTAGCTGGGGAGCTTCAGGTTTCCCTCCAGCTTCTGCTTTCTGCACCTGTGTGGCACAGCACAGGGCAGTGTGGCACAAACTGCAGTGCAGGGGGGAACCTGTGGCCACTGAGTTAGGGGCCAGCCCATGTGCATGGTACTGCAGGGAGGAGGGAGAACAGGCTGCCAACTGTGCAAGGTTGGACAGCCCTGAGCTCTGCCATACTTCAGACTGCAGTGTGGCCATATTCTTAATCTTACCTTATGGTGCGTTATGAATCACTTGCACGTTAAGTACTCTCTGTGTGATGGATATGGTACTTTGAAGCTGTGTGCTCAGAAGGAAGCTTTATAATATCCAGGGTCAGTGAGCTCAGTGGAGTTGCACTATCATAAAACTGGAACAACGCAGTGGTGAAGACAACCCCACAAATCTAATTGCTTTATGAAGTCAATGAATTGGCTCCTTAGGTTGTTTTATGAAAAATGTAACTGCATACAATTAAATATCTGAGAGGAACCCAATTAAAACAGAGCTTCTCCCACTGTGAAATCTTAGAACACGGCCCCTCTGAGCCATAATGAATTGGAACACAGTGCTACTGCAAAACTGTCAACTCCATATGTTTTTAATAATTTTGCTCTTTATACAAGAAAATGAAAAATAACTTGTTCAGACCATTTGTGGTATTGTGATGTTCTACTCAGCTTGATTTAGGATGCTAGAATCTGACCCTTGTACTTCTTAGTTTTTAAGAGGTTGGGATGTAAATTAAGTATTCAGTCTTATTTATAAGCAGAGCATGCATGATTTTATTTACATTCTTTGGCTCTGTGACTGTGGCATTGGCAGGAATCTGAGCCAGCATTTTTCAGTATTAGGTTCTGAAGTTTGTTTCAAAAGGAGCAGCTTGAGTGCTTATTACTTTTGAAGTATACCACATTTATCTGGGTGCCTAATTATACGCTAGAATCTTGATTCATTAAGGCATCTTGTTACAGCAATGTCATGCATCAGAATACATCCTGGGCCTGCATACTTCGAATGGAGGCACCTATGTGCATTTTGGTCAGTATTCACAGCACCTACAACATTATGCAAGAGGATGTATAGACCAGCCAGTAGGAAGTATGGAGTTTCACAAGAGTTTGTGTGTCTCTTCAGCCTTGAGCTTAAGACCTCTGTTAGTGTGGGTTTTGAAGCTGAATCATCTAAAGCCAGGCCTTATTAAAATGAGGGAGCAGGAAAAGGAGGATGTGGCCCACTCATCTTTTGTCCAATAGCCTAGTGGGCTAGGAAGAGAGAGATCTCAGTTCAAGACCTTCCTCATCCAGAAGGGGTTTGAATCTCCCCTACATGGAAAATTGCCCTTACTTCTAAGCTATAACCTAAGTAGGACTAAAGCCATCTTCTGCTATCCCCTTCTCTCTTGCTGAAGCAGTCACTGGGAGCCACAAATATAAGAGTCATGGGTGCAAAGAGAGAAGCAAGAGTGAACCTGACTATAGCCTAGTGAGGAGGGCATAAGTAGTCCCAGGGCCAGAACCCAAGGCCCCAGAGGAAGGCCCAAACTACTGGGGGTTTGGCAAGTAGTGGGGAGGAGAGGAAAGATGCATTCCTCTGTTGCTAAGCATACTCTAACTGCATCAAACAGAGTGGTCCTCTCATTTGGACCTTGGTGCAGGAATGACTTGTGAATGTATCCAAAATCGCCTTAGGTAGGTTTCAGGCTTTAGAGGCACGTCTCATTCAAAATGATCGACATAAGCATGTGTAATAGCTGTGAGTTCTGAGATCTACTGTATTCACTCAAATCCAAGATGAGTCCCCCTCCCCCCCCCCATTTAACATGGCAAAAAAGTCCCTCTTCTTGGATTTGAATACAAGGCATGGGGAGGCAGGCAGCTGCTGCAGCTTTGGCTCTGGCTCCTGGGGTTGGAGTGGGAGCTGTACCTGCTGCCTGCCTCCCACCTCTCCACAGCCTCAGACCAAGGAACTAAATTTTGAGATCCCATTATAAAGTCTTGGCTATAGGGAATGTCATTTGAGTCAAAGTTTGGTCATTTTGTAGCAGAGTAGCACTATGCAGTAACATAATATAGGTGTTTTACTTCAACTTTAGTGTGTGAACTTTTAATACAAAGCAGACATTATCACAGAAAAATGCATACAAAGGGCTGTATTCTAAAAGACGACATTGAAACAATGGTTGGCTTAGTTTCTTATTCACAAAATATTTGTGAGAGAGATTAATGTCCTACAACCTTGCTCCAGTTGAAGTCAGGGAGAGTTTTGTCCATTATTTATTTAGCAAAAAAAGGCATTTATTTGAAACCACATCTGTCACTTTCAAGAAAAATGGCCCAACTACCAAGAGAGAGGCTAAGCAAGGCTGAGGCCATTTTTGAAGTAGGTTCATTAGGCATCCATAAGCATAAGAATCATGGGACTAGAATAAGAGAAAGGAAGAATTACTCATTTGATCTAAATTAGCAAGATGAGGAACAAAATAGTTTCACATTTTTATAACTAAAGAACAGTAGTCTCAAGTGTCTACTTTTATTTATTTATTTATTTATTTACAAGCAGTGATATATTTAAATTCATTTCAGAGCCCTAAAAATAGAAAAACATCACAAATATTACAAAGCTTCCTGATCAGGAAAGATAACATGGGGTCAGGAAATTTGATTATATAATATGAACATTTAAAGGTGCTTCCTGTTTATAAGGGAACAGCTGTAGCCTGGGTGATTATATTCAGAGGCTGAAGATCAAGGGACTTCCTGGCTGAGGGCACTAGTACATCACTGCAAAAAGATGGTTTTATACCCTGACCCAAACTCAAGAATGCTGTCTTAATATAAAATCCTGCTGCAGAATAAGGCATGGTTAATTTTTACCCCAATGTAACCTGTCAAGCCAAAGCTTCTAACTCAGTGTTGGCAAAGTTTTTTTTGTGGTTGGCAGAAATGGCCCAGCTCAGATCCAAGGCTGGCTGGTGCTAGGAACTGGCCACTTTTCCCCACTGTCCAGAATGGGCAAAGCTCTCTGCTACTCAGCCCACTCACCCACTGTAGAGCACCATGTGGGCAAAACCTCCTGCCACTGAGTGCCACTGGGATACCAGCTGCTTCGGCCAGATGCAGTGGCTTTGTGAGCTATGTATTGCTGACCCTTGCTCTGGCTCCCTACGTGCTAGCTACAGCAAGGTAAAAGCAGTCTGTCCACTTTAAAATCCCATTAAAGACATCTCAAGTTCATTAACTTGATGTAAAAATGTGTTTCCTTTTCTGGTGATTTAAATATTCACATTTTTAATGAAAGGTTAAAATTACCCAAAGCATGAGTGGCATATGAGTGAAAAATGTTTGAAATATGTTTTTCCCTTCCTTCCTGTTCTCACATTATCATTCCCCTTTGCTCTAGAAGCAGTCAGAAAACTGCTTTGCTATCCTACAAACCTTTTCATGACTTAAAGAAAAATGTTCCTGTTCTGCACTGGGACAAAATCAAAGCCTTTCAGAGTTTTCAGGAAAAAAAAAAAAAAAGCAGACTGATACTACTTTACCCCACAAGTGCTGAGGTCAGAGTTCTGACCTAGAATGGGGGAGACCCCAGTTTCATTGGCTTCCTTTTGCCATTCTCCATGTACCCTGGCAGTGCCCTGGTAATCAGCCTCTTCCTGGGTGGCTGTGTATACTGCACATGTGCACCCAGGTATCCTGTCCTCTGTCTTCCTCTCCCTTCTCCCTCCCCCTGGTTTGACTAGATGTTCTATCCTGGACCTCAGAAAACCATTTTGATGAAAGTTTTGTCAAAGCTAGTACACTGCAGTTTTGATTAATAATTTGATTATTTTCCAATAAAATAAACGTAAAAAAAAATCCCAAACTGCTCTTTTTATTCCTTCTTCATTCTCCATCTTTTCTGTTCCTGCAGGTAAACAAACCAGTTATTCTCAAAATTGCTGCTATATATTTTTTTTTGTTTTGTTTCAAAACTTAGTTGAAAGTAAAAGGGTAGAATTCATCCTATTTAAACCATCAATCTGCATAAAAACAAATGCAAGAGAAATAAATTATGATTATGTAAACTACATGTTATAATTACTTTTTTGGATCACGCTTGTATTGTTTTAGCTGTTATTATACTGATTCAAGCGGAGGAAATTGCAGAACATGGAAATTGTATTGTTATATTTTCTGTATCTTGGGTTTAATGTAATAGATTTTTTTTGATTTGCCTCAGGGGGAGTTTGTCTCCTGCCTCTTGTCACTCTTACGACAAATGACAGACAGACATTACCAGCAACTTCTTGATAGCTTCAACACCAAGGATGAGCTAAGGGTAAGGAGCAGATCAGGATTTCTATATCTTTAAATCCCTCCCTCCCCCTTCTTTTATGCTTCATGGTTCAGGAGATCTCCTGCCTCAGATAAGGGACCATTGATTTACATGGGTTGATGCTGAAATACAGTCTGTTTCTCAGATACCCTTTTAACTTGATGGTGTAGGTTTTACATTCATGTTTACTTGCGAAGCCTTGCTGTCAAGAGTAGTTTTGTATTTCTATACTGTAAATGGATAGTATATATTGTGTTTCCTTCTGAGAGAGAGTAGGGAAA